AATAAATATTAATTATGTTATCTTTAAAAGATTTACAAATTTCAGCAAGAGCTTTGCTACGGCTTTGATGAATTGAAACGCCTAATAAAAATATAAAGTATAAAATTTGCAATAACTAAGATGTACTTACGATAGGTGGGATGACTAGTAGCAACCAGTAAAGTATCGTCGCAAACGCCAATGATACTGCAATCATAACCCTAAGATATGCTCCATTTCTGCCTTTGGAGGTATTACTTGAAGTACCTGCTAATCTATCTGCCAACGGAGCTGCCACTAACGGTCCTATTAAAGCTATTATCGGTGCTACTATCGAAACTACTATCGATTCGTCCTTTGAAAGTCCGAGGGAGTTCATATGGAGAGGTAGAAAAGGGAAGAGGCTTCCTATAGCTAAAAACAATGAAATTCTGTTTAATCAACAATTTTATAAAATATACTTTTGTCAATGATAAAAAGGTCGGCAATTTATTATTCTTTTAAATTAAAATTTATAAGGACAATTTGGATCTCAGAGTACGTGGTTATTAGTGGTAGGGCAAGAACATAGTGTCCTTGGTCGTAGGGTATAGATAATAATAAAACACCCTTATATATTAGGCATCAGACAGCATGGGAAATCATAAAATGTAAGAATGTATTGATATAGAGTATGTAACATTTTTTTTATTATTAATATATCAAATTATTTTTAATTGCTTTTACCCCCGTGCGATACGCCGATGATTAGGAATCCCCGTGTTTACGATAGGAAATAATATTGTAGATACCAAGCTAAAATGGAATTTCCTAATTAAGAAAGGATTTTAATCCTTCCGTCTTAATACTCTGTATGAAAAGAATAAATGCTTTCCGGTATGCAGTTTCCTTTTTATAAATTGGTAATTTTCGTCGAAGGCCCATAACTTAATCCCAAGTATTGTCTGTTTCTTATGTCCAATTGTTAATACCGATTATTTCACCTCAAACTTTCCAATAGTCGTCAAGGCCTTACCTTCTGAGAAACACATACAACTGTCCTATCATTCTTGAATGGGGGAATATTTTCTTCTTCCTTTTTCAGGGACAGTTGGTAAAATTTAGAGTGGAACCAATTTACTTGTTGGTGGGCAGTTGTTGAGTGAGGTAATATCTCGTGAGACTTTTTGGTGGGCCGTTGTTGAGTTAAGGCCAATATCTCGTGTTACGCTTTGCTTACTTTATTTCTTATCGTATCGTCTTTGTGAATTATTTTCTAAGTGTGTGTACACTTCATATTTGAGTTTTCTTTCCTTAGACTATATTAAATTATATATAGTTCTACACTACCTTTAATGGTACATAATTAAATTCAGTATTGAATACCAGTACAGTATCTTAAATTCAGTGAATTAAGCTGCCTTCGTCAAGATCTACTGTAAGTAATCTTTATCTACAATTATCTGGGCGAGTAATATGGTATGGTACCATATCACCTGCCATTATCTGGACGTATCATCTATATCTTCACCTGAAGATTGCCGATTTTTGAATGTAATTGAACCATTCAAGAAATTTCTATAAATATTACCTATGAACATACAAGTCTCAGTTTTTTATTAAATAATAGTGCGAGATAGTTAATTGACTTAGCCAAGTGCGGTTTGGTTTATGTTTTCATTCTTGTAACCTTTTTGTTTTTGTTTGTAAATTTAGAGTTAAGTAATTTTTGCTATCTTTTGTATTTCCTATAATTTTTGTTCATTATCTTTCCTATAATATCTCGAGATACGCCAAACTATATTTGTATATGATTGCCTTATATATCTTGGTAAAGGTATTTTTTTATTACATTATAGCTTAATTTTATACTTATATAACACCATTTCATAGTTGTGTATTTTTATTACCTGGGTTGCATATAGCAGCATCATAATTTTGTGTTTAATATATTGTTATTGTTTTATGCATGTATTTTATTTGTCGGCTCCTAACAAGTTCCCTGATAAAATAATAGCTCTGAACAATTACTATCTTTAAATATTACTATGCTTTTGAACTCTAGAAAGATCAGGCTGATTAAGTTTCGTAGGTAAGTAAGTGTAATACCTAATATATTTATTATTTGTTTATATATTGTGTTGACCAGATTTATTTGATAATTTACTGTTGGTATCTTTCCTTGGGTTTGATCTCTGAACCTAAATATCTTTTCTTATCTCTTTTCTTTTCTAAGGTTTTCTTAATTTTCTCCTTAACCCCAAAAAATTGAGTGGCGCCCTGTTTCTATCTTCTCTTATCTTTGGTAATTTTACCCATCTATCTTTTTGTTTATTTCTGTATCTTTTCTAATATCTCTTATCCTATCTTTACCTATTTCTTCCGTTGGATCCATTCCCGGTTCCAAAAGCTAGTTTCGAACCTACGACTCGCTCTCCACCAACCATCTGGCTGCCGTCCGCAGTGTCTCCATTGGTTATCTTTCTAGCACCACCCAAAAAAGATTTACGAGGTTACAAGTATATGCTTAACAGAAAAAAGTGTGAAAATTGTTTAAAATCAAGAGATAAACTGGAAAGGACAAATATCTAATACTACTATCGGTTTACAGCGTTCTCCGACGCCTTCCGATTCCTAACCGCCATTTTTCTCTATTCAACCATAGGCCTGGAGGGATTTCTCTTTCCTCTAGTTCTTTTTCAATTTCCTCTCTCCAGCTACTTCTCGGTCTTCCTCTTTTCCTTCTCCCTTGTGGTGTCCACGTCAAAATCTGTTTCAGAATCCTGTCATCTGGCATTCTCTGTATATTTCTGTACCATAATTGCATAAAAAAATTGCGGTAGGTAGGGAAACGAAATTTTGGAGTAGAAATGGAGTAAGTATAATTATTAATAGTGAAATGAAAGATATAGTTAAAAAATAAGTAGTTTCAGAACGAGTGATACCATACTGTTTGAAATTTGTATATGACAGTGTTGTGCTGAATGTAGTATGTGTATGTGAGTGGATATTCTATAAGTAAGACTGGGTAAAAATGAGTTTTTGTCATGCATTTTTTTAGCAGCATTGCGAAGCATCTCCAGCTACCTATATCTTTGCATTTAGGTAATTATTTTTACCTGCAATTATGGCTTTTTTTATTCTTAATATTTATTTTCAAACCCAAAGCTTCACTTGACAGATAATTGAAGATAATCACTGTTATCTACCGGTATTACTATGTCGTTAATATGCCATGTTAATTAATCAATATGCCGTTCACTTTAATATTCTTACTAGAGTTTGTCACTGCGTCAGTTCGTAGTTCGGGTTCCGAAGTGGCATGGGTACTTAAGAATTACTACTGGCCATAAACGTACTGATGTAAACGATGTCGTGATGTACACGTTAACCTATATTTATGACAAAGCTTTAAGAGGCTGCATTACTATCACTATTAGTCCTAAGCCCGAATAAAGGAGAACGTTTTATAGGTGAGGCTAGTAACCCACCTGTATTAAAAAAGGACTTTAGAATATAGAATAGAACTATCGAATATGTTGACGAAAATGGACAAGAATATGTAAAAAGGATATATTGAAACTCGGAAGCTGAAACGTCACATCCATATCAGTAACTTAGAATAAGGGCAAAGGCAATATAAGATACCAAATCATGTATTATTCTACAGTGGAGTTGAGAAGGATACTGAAGTCCTAGCAGGAGTAGCAATACTACTTCACAAAAACAGAACGCCATAACGCCAATTGATGGACAACAGTCAGAAGAAATGAATATCTGAAGGGGAGTTGGACAGGGATGAGTTTTATGGCTTTATTTGTTCAATTTGTATTCTAAAGAGGGTTATACTTTCTCCTCCGTGTGTTAGAAGCTCGTTGGTTATTCTGTCTGGTCCTGGTGACTTTCTATTTTTAAGTGAATTTATGGCTATTTCTACTTCCTGAAAACTGATTTCTATTTCATGTCTTAATTTAGGTACGTTATTGTGTTGATTATTATTTTCCTTTCCTTTAAACCTGAGTTCTGAGTTCCGTATGTTATTGTATTTATTCAATTCTGCCGTTGGTTTCTTATGAATCTCAGTTCCTGGTGTTCATTTTTTGTTCTTCTTACCAACTGCTGTGTTTCTTTTCATATTCTTCTATAAGTGTCTCGGGATTCTGGAATATTTGATGTTTTGTACTTCGTGTAGGGCTCTCGTTTCTCTTTACATTTGTCTTTCATGGCTTTTCTGAACCATGGTGTATTGTTATTTTTCCTTTTGTTCAGTATGACTTTGCGTTTTCCTAGAACTTCTGCTCCTTCAATGGTATTTTTAATTTTCTCCCAGCTCGCGTTTATATCTTCGATGTCGTCTATTTGTTTCAGCTGTATCTTCTGTGCTAGCCTCCTTTGGTACATTTCTCTTGTAGAGTCGTTCTACAGTGATTTTACATTGAATTTTTCTTCGGTGATTTCCTGTAGAAAATGTTTTGCTGTTATTTTCATTCTTAGTTTTGCTGTTTAGATATCTGGGAATAGATATAACTAGTTACGGAGATGTTGAAAAAGAAGTACGACAATAAAGCTTAAAAGCAAGTAAAGCGGCGGGATCTCTTAATGACACAATCTGGAAGAACAAACACTTAAGACAAAACACAAAAACAATAATCAATAAAGCAGCAATTAGGCCTATATTAACATACACGGTGGAGACAAGACCTGAAACATCTATAACGAGACGACTACTAGAAACAACAGAGATGGAAATACTCCGACGAATATCAGGGAAAAGTCTGTTGGATAGGGAGAGAAGCCAAAACATAAGAAGAGCATGCAATATAGAAGACATAAATGGATAGGTGACAAAACGAAAACAGGAGTGGAACGAACACATCAGTAGAATGACAGAGGATAGAATAGTACGAATAGCACGAGATAAGTCACCAAATGGACGAAGAAGTATTGGCAGACCAAGAAAAAGATGGTGCGATAATTTTAAACAATTTAGGAGGCTAATATTGAAGAAGAAACAGGCTTTAAAGCCTAGTACACGAAGGAAGAAGAAGAAGAAGTGTTCTAAAGAAATATACAAGGATATACAAACATTAGGGGAATTAGAATAATGGAATAAAGATTGCTAAATAGATCATCATTTATACGAATAAACTCACTTTTAATTGTAGAAATGATCTGAGACATGGACATTAAAAAAATGTAACTTAAAAAGTATTGTGGCTGTCGAACTGTGACGTGTCGTCCTATCCTTTTATATAGGTAGATGCTATTTATTTCTTTTTCTTTTAGACTTTTATTTTGTCTGAATGATGCTCCATAACGAGAACTATTGGAATCTTGTGAATGATATACCTACGTTGTAACATTTTTTTTTATTATTAATATATCAAATTATTTTTAATTCCTTTTACCCCCGTGCGATACGCCGATGATTAGGAATCCCCGTGTTCACGATAGGAAAATATTATTGTAGACACCAAGCTGAAATGGAATTCCCTAATTAAGAAAGGTTTTTAATCGTTCCGTCTTAATACTCTGTATGAAAAGAACAAATGCTTTCGGTATGCAGTTTCTTTTTCCTAAATTGGTAATTTTCGCCGAAGGCAAGTATCTTTTGACAATAATATAATCCTAAGGATTTTAATATTCTCAGGTCAAATTGTTAATACCGATTATTTTACCTCAAACTTTCCAATAGTCGTTAAGGCCTTACCTTCTGAGAAATACATACGACTGTCCGATGATTTTAAGTGGGGGATATACCTTCTTCTTCTTTTTTCTAGGATAGTTGATGAAATTTTTAGGGAGCCAATTTACTTCTCGGTGGGCTCTTGTTGAGTGAAGTGATATCTCGTGATGCGCTTTGCTCACGATATTTCTTACCTTATCGTCGCTGTGAATTATTTTCTAAGTGTGTATACACTTTATATTTGAGTTTTCTTTCCTTAGACTATATTAAATTATATATAGTTCTACACTACCTTTAATGGTTATTAAATTCAGTGTTTAGTACCAGAAAAGTATTAAATTCAGTGAATTAAGCTACCTTCGTCAAGATCTATTAAATAATAGTGCGAGATAGTTAATTGACTTAACCAAGTGCGGTTTGGTTTATGTTTTCATTCCTGTAACCTTTTTTTTTAAATTTAGAGTTAAGTAATTTTTGCTATCTTTTGTATTTCCTATAATTTTTGTTCATTATCTTTCCTATGATATCTCGAGATACGCCAAACTATATTTGTATATGATTGCCTTATATATATATATATATATATATATATTATATATATATATATATTATATATATATATATATATATATATATATATATATTGGTAAAGGTATTTTTTTATTACATTATAGCTTAATTTTATACATATATAACACCATTTCATAGTTGTGTATTTTTATTACCTGGGTTGCATTGTTATTGTTTTATGCATGTATTTTATTTGTCGGCTCCTAACAAGTTCCCTGATAAAATAATAGCTCTGAACAATTACTATCTTTAAATATTACTATGCTTTTGAACTGTAGAAAGATCAGGCTGATTAAGTTTCGTAGGTAAGTAAGTGTAATACTTAATATATTTATTATTTGTTTATATATTGCGTTGACCAGATTTATTTGATAATTTACTGTTGGTATCTTTCCTTGGGTTTGATATCTGAACCTAAATTTCTTTTCTTATCTCTTTTCTTTTTTGGTTTTCTTTATTTTCTCCTTAACCCAAAAAATTGAGTGGCGCCCTGTTTCTATCTTTATCTATTTCTTCCGTTGGATCCATTCCCGGTTCCAAAAGCTAGTTTCGAACCCACGACTCGCTCTCCACCAACCATCTGGCTGCCGTCCGCAGTGTCTCCATTGGTTAACTTTCTAGCACCATCCAAAAAAGATTTCCGAGGTTACACATATTTTTATTGGGGCGCCATAAAAATATGTTACAACGTAAGTGATAAAATAGAAAGAGAGACTGAGAAAGAGGAAGGGAGATGAATAGTAGATGCAATATAAATCAAATGCGAGAATGAAGGGGATGCGGTGATATACCCCTCTATATATATTCCACAATCCCTTCCTCAACTACCACAGTCAATTATACAAGTTTTTAGTGGTTAGAAATTCCAAACTAGTATCCGGCATGGCTCTAATCGTTTTATTATAAAAAAATTCTATTTTACAAAAATAAAATACTTACCCCCAAAAACTAGGAATAGTATACATTTGAGGGAAATTAAATTACGGTTAATATTCATTTTGCTTCTTTCAGTTCGGATCTTATTCTAATTGGTTCAGATCAGCTGCTGTACAAGTCGCTTTATTTTCCATCTTTTCTTCATTTGTTCACTCCATGATTACCTAAAAACAAACAAATTAAATTAGTAGGTAATTTAGTTTTTTATAATTATTCGTAGTACATATAGTAATGAAGTTTTTTACAAATTCAAAATATTAATAAGGTGGCAACGTTGCAATTTTAACGACACAGTTAAAATAAACTGTGTAAACTTATAAATACAAGTTGCTTCAGCAATACAATCTTAAAGATTTTTAGACATTGTGTTTACTATAGTTTTTTGGAGACTATATTTTAGAGCACTATAATGATCTATTTGAAAACTGAAGACAGTAAATATTATTTAAATTTTTTTTATTAAAATCCCTTGTAAAAGGTATATATTTAAAAACCCAAACGGGCTAATTAGACAAAACGTTTTCGGAATCCATATTCCATCATCAGTGTCTAGGAGTACATGTATGTAGCCACTAAATATATGGGTAAAAACCCGTTAACAATTAATTAGTTATATTTGGTTTACAGTATTTCTTATAATATGTTAAGATGTTAAGGCTATAATATGTTAAGATACAAGGCTCTCGCTTTCTGTAAAACCAAATAAGGCAGAATTAGGTGGCCTGTTATTTTGGGGTTGAAATTTAGCAGGAACCTCTCTTTTATTTCTTTTTAGAGTTCCAACATATGAAATTTTATGGCTTCTCAGTTCTTTTATGAGCTCAATGGACGAAAACCAATTATCTGCTGTTATGTTTCTATTTGTACCAGACACTGGTGGAATAAGTGTCAAAACATCTAGAGTGGGGATGGATAACTTTTTTGGATTTGCTCTGCGTGTATCTTTTCCAGTATATATATAAAACCATTTAGCAAATAATGTGTCTTAGAGTCTACTAAACACTGCATTTTCAGACCGTATTTGTCTGGCTTATTTTTGAGACACATCCTGAATTGGCACCTTCCTCTAAATGCAATAAGCATTTCATCTATTGTGAGATATTCACCACAGCTATAATTGGACTGGTAATTAATTATAAACATATTAAAAATATTGGATATAGCTGCCAGTTTATCTCCGTGCGCAATACGTTCTTGTCTAGTAGCTGGGTCGTCAAAACAAAGGCTTCCAAGCAAAAAATAAAATCGGTTTAGTGACATGGTTGCTCGAAATATATCACGGCCAGTACCATTCGTAGCAAATAAAGAACTTAAATCTTCACCTTTAATTCAATTATGTCAAGATGATTGGTATAATGACACGATAAATTGTGTAAATTATATTTAGAATCCATATTAGTTATTCGTTCATTAGAATTCTCAAAAATTTCTTGCAATATATCGTGGCTAATAATACATTCCCAAGCATCAACTGGTTTCTCTGGCATACTAGCTCGAGCTTTTCCAATAATACCAGGTAAATGACTAAATTATGCTTACGTGTACGAGAAAAGGTGGGAGAAGTTTTAGACCACTTGTACCTATTTTCAGCTATATCACTTTCTTCATCCGAATATTCACTACCAGTTTCGGAATTATTAATTTGCCAATTTTTTTCGTCATCATCGTCCCATTCCTTTTTACTATCTGTTTCGTGATCACTGTATTCACTAGCCTGGTCTAAAAACTCACTGTCACTATCTAGTCCATTGTCCATAATTTTTTGTCCCTCCTCTTCAAATTCTTTCTGTGTCAGAGGACGTTTATTGCGACTACACCCGGCCATTTCAAATTACTCGTTAATTGCACTAGAAACACTTCATAAGCGGGTCAAAATTGAACCTATGCGTGCCTAACTCTGCAGTAGTATTATCTGTAATAACAGATAAACTAACGGAATTTTCGTAGATCGATAAATCACCTACCGGTCGAAGATTAGCAGAAAGCGCGCAATGCTCAATCTATGTTTCGGTAGCGAAACTTGGCATTAAAAACGCGGGGGGTCAATTTTGACCCCGTCATGGTACTTAAGGGTTAAGTACAAAACAAAACAAAACTTGTTGCCTATTCTCAAACCAATGAATCAGTGTTCACACATGGCTTGCTAAATATAAAATAATTTTTAAATACATCACCTAATTTAAAAAATTGTCCAAAATACAATTCTTGTGTATTATTTTCAAATATTTTACATATGCATTTAAGACTCAATTTTAATTGGTATAAAAAACTTCCTGCGGTCACCTGCACCCTCTTATGTTTTCTTCTATAATGGCACTTCATGTGTTAGTTCATATTATAAATGTATTTCTAAATATTAACAGTATTTGGGCCTTTAGAACTCTATAAAATCTAAATATATACCTTTATTAAAAGACTATTCGCTAAGATACAGTTCAGTGAATACCCATCTATTGATGAAGGCGTTCCCTATGAATAGCTGCGGTCACATTTAAATATACTCTCAATGTTGTTGCCAAACAACTGGAAAAACAGAACAGAAAATGATGTCACCAGTGTTAAGTATGGGTATCTATTTCTATTACAGATATTTATATTAATATGATACATACGCAAATAGAGTGATTTAAATCTAGGTTAAAGATTTCTTCAAGCATATCATCGTTTCTGCATTTGCATTTTATTAGTAATGTGATACAATGGAAATATATACTACTTTTTATAGTGGTCGATTTTACGGTAGGATGTATAGTATAGTGTAGGTCAAGAATAGTTAGACATTGATTAAATGTCTACATGTGAAGCTAAACGTAGTTTGGATTTACATATTCACTAAAATATTTTCTTAGGTACATTAGTAATGCAATGTAGTGCAAAATATAAAAAATGCAATGTAAAAGGACTATGAATATCGGAACTTGGAATGTCCAAAGTTGGTACAGACCTGGAGCTGCTATAAATGCTGTGGAACAACTGGAAAACATAGGAATGGATATAACAGCAGTCCAACAAATAAGATTTAATTTAATAAGAAGTAAATCCACTATCTTCTTCAGCGGTAACAAAAACGGAAGGCATGAATTTGTTACGGGCATTGTGATTAGAGACAGCCTTAGTACAGAATATACTAAATTTCAAATCTATAAACGAAAGGATATGCTACATATGAATGAAAGGAGAACGATACATTCCGATTATCTCAGCGCAGCACCAACAAAAGAGAAGGATGAAGATATCAAGGATGACTTTTAAGATGCCCTAGAAAGAGCGATAGATACGATCTCCCAAACAAGATATGCGCATACTCTATGGGGACTTTTATGCTAAAACAGGCAAAGAACCTAGCCTATACCCCACAATAGGTAATACAGCCTCCACAATATATCCAACTACAATGGCTTAAGACTCACAGAAACTGCAACAGCTAATAATATGCTAATAAAGTCAACCATGTTTCCGCATAAAGACATCCATAAGTAAACCTGGGTCTCAAACCACCATTATACGCGCAACCAAATTGACCACATCATTGTAGATACCCGTCATGGGAACAATATTATAGACGTAAGAAGCCTGAGAGAAATAGACTGAGACACACATCATTGCTTAGTCAGAGCAAAAGTCAAATCCAGAATATCTAGCCACAAATACAATAAATTAACAATAAACCCACAATGGAACATGGAAGAAATTTACAATACAGAAAAACAATAAAACTATAGAGAACAAGTTGACAAAACCTTGAACTCTGAAAGAGAATACAATTATATAGAACAGCTATAGGAAACGATTGCCAAAATAATAACCAAGACAGCGGACAAGATCTTTGGAAGGAGTGGGCAGAAGACGGCAAAAACATAATATGATGAGGAATGTCGGAAACAGCTAGAAAAAACACAAACAGTAAGCAAGACTTGGATACAACTGCAAACAGACCAAAGTAAAAAGGAATATGGCGACTGCTGAAAACAAACAAGAAAAATAATACGCACAAGAAAAAGAAACTATGAATAACAAAAATATAAAGCTATTGAAAGAGACCGGCCCAAACCAGGCTCCAGATAATTCTATAAAGCAATTTCCTCTGAGAAAAGAGGACATATAACCAATTTCATCCATACACTGAGAATGAAGGCCGTATGATAATCGACGGTAAAGAAGGAACTAAAGAATAGAAAGAGTATTTTAGGGTCTTGTCTTTATTCTAAACATCATACAGGAAGAACAGCACAAAGAAGAGATCTACATCACAGCGGACATACCCGTCAAAAATCCCTCCTTTGAAGAAGCACAAAAGGCTGAAAAATCACAAAGCGCCGGGTACGGACGAGATACCAGCAGAACTTCTGAAATATGGGGGAATTGCACTACATCGCTAAATCTACCAGCTAATAACGCACATATGTTTAGAAGAAAGGATACCAGCACGATGGAAGGAAAATATAATAGTGCCCATCCACAAAAAAGGGGACAAAACAAAATGCGCGAATTACAGAGGAACTTCACTCTTAAACACGGCATATAAAACCCTCTCAAATATCATTCTTAGTAGACTAATCCCTCATGCTGAAAATATCCTAGGCAAATGTCAAGCCGGTTTTAGGGCAAACAGATCAACAATAGATCAACTATTCACGCTGAGACAACTTCTAGAAAAGGGATGGGAGTATAACAGACCCATACACAATCTTTTCATAGACTTTCGACAAGCATATGATAGTGTAGACAAAAGCCAAGTATGGAATGCCATGACGGAGTTCTCAATTCCAAAGAAACTCATTCGGATGACCAAAATGTGTATGAGGGTGGATTATCTAAAGTACGTGTAAATAATAAACTGTCTGGCAGCTTTGAAATCAACAGTGGACTCAAACAGTATGATGCGTTATCTCCACTACTTTTTAACCTTGTATTATTGAAATCCATGAGGTCGGTCGAAATAAAAACAGAATTGCTATCGGTTTAAGGTCGCAAGCTGTTACTCGCATATGCAGATGACATAGATCTCGTTGGAAACTCCATCCTATTTACGAAAGACATCTTCAACAAGGTGGAAGGAGC